GGATCGACAGGACTTCTCACTACAACGTCCGCTTCTAGCTAACTGTACGCTAGGCCCGAGTGGCCTTCAGGTAGTTTATCACGCGACGTTGCGCCTACGGCTCGGCTTTCCAAGACACGGTAGGACTTCCTAGACAGGTCCCGGGCGACTAAATCGCCTACTGTCTCTCACGGCTGAACTTCCTGCGAAGCTCTGCCCTAGGTGTACTGTCTTGCGACGGTCTACCTTCTCGCTGCACTAAAGGCCTTTCGTACCTATTGCAGCACCAACTCCGTGTTACTAGCTCGCACTAACAACACGCTCTAAAACTTAGTTAGAAGACAGTCCGCCTAAGGCTTATGTCTAATTGGGATCGAATACAAAATGTAAGGGGCTGCGCTCTAGGGAGCAATCGCGAGGTATACAAGAGGTTGTATTCGATAAGGAGCTATCTACTCTACTTACGTGGTATTTATTTACTTATCGGAGAAAGGTTATGCCGGAGTATCTGAGCGCATTGTCTGAGCGCTGCTCGGTCTGAACGTAGTTCAGATGGTGCGCGCGCAGCTTGGCCCGAGATTCCATCGAGGAGCTATCCAAAGGGCGTTCAGCCCGTTACATAAACTAGGAGATACACAACAAAGAGTTGTATGCTATTATTGTAGCATTTAACAAGTAGAGGTCTAAGTTAGCCTTAGTGTAACGGGCTGAACGCCCTTCGCCTCCCATACTCGTCTACGACCTCGTTTACTCCACCTGCCCGGCCCGATTGTTACCCTAGCAACCAGCATTGTATATAGATAGCTACGTAGCCGAGAGCTTAGCTCTCTATCGAATACAATCTTGTTACCTTGGCCTGTCCGATCGTGCTCCCGAGCTTAAGACTACCCTCCGGGGTCGAGCCCCTTACACTTAGCTCACTCCTAAGTCTAAGTGTACTCTAACCACCGCTCGCTAGAGTATTTTATAACTACTAAGGTTCTAAACACTAGATAAGTAAGATAGGCTAAACAACTCGCGTTGTTTAACTTCTACATCTAATACACGCCTAGTAAGAATAACGCTTACGCTAATATCCTTAGCTATTATAAGTAGGATATATAGCACTTAAGAACTGCCTAAATTAATAACTATTTGCAGGTCCTTCTAGGGCCGCACTAACTTAATAACTAAATTAACTCTAAACTTGCTAAGGCATATGTAGCACAACTATTAGAACAAGCTACCTCTCTATTAGTAGTTAAGCCCTCTTAGGAGACTATGTCCCTAGACTCTCTTAAGCTAATTAAGCTCTTGTTGCAACAGAATTAGACGTTGTTTAAAAAGGAGCGCTGCTCTCTCCCAGACAAGTACTAGATAGAGAACAGACTGCTGCTCTATTCGAACTGTCTCTGCGTGCTACCAGACTCCCCCGCCTGCACATAGCTAATCCAAGAGGCCTACGATTAGGTCTCTTTAGCCCACCTAAGTGTAAAGAAGACTTATTAGCTACTGTCTTAGAAATACTATTAGAAAGGCATAGAAGCTACCTACAAGAGGTACGTGTGGAATTGCCTAGCCTGCTATAAGGCCCATCTAAGACAGACCTAAGTTCTAGGGCTAATTTACCTCCTCCCTATTCCTAATTAGCTAATACAACACCTCTATATTAACTTTAAGGAATTTCTTAAGGATAAAGCTAGATACAATTAGATTATAGTTGTAATTAACTAGTTGTCTAAGTAGGCTATCTCTATCCCTTGCTACAAGATAATTAATGCAAGGGGTATAGCTAAACTCTTTGTCTAGTAGGTGTATTAATTTAGACACACCCTAGAGACTATTATCTCTAATTAAGGACCACAGTTTGTGTCTAGTTTCTAGTCTAAGTTTTGTCGAATCTTAGGCGTTAAAGTTAAGCTATCTACTTGTAACGGGCTGAACGCCCTTTGGATAGCTCCTCGATGGAATCTCGGGCCAAGCTGCGCGCGCACCATCTGAACTACGTTCAGACCGAGCAGCGCTCAGACAACGCGCTTAGATACTCCGGCATAACCTTTCTCCGATAAGTAAATAAATACCACGTAAGCAGAGTAGATAGCTCCTTATCGAATACAACCTCTTGTATACCTCGCGATTGCTCCCTGGAGCGCAGCCCCTTACAAATTGTATCTTGTACGAGCTTAAACTATAAGCTAATAACCTCTAGGTCTTCCTAAAGGGCTCTCTAATAGTTCTTTACCTAATTAAAAGCTATCTTAAGCTCCTCTATATAAGTAATAAAGCGCTAAGCCTAGTTTTTACTAATAGGTACCCTACTATAAGCAGCTAGCAATTAATTAGCAATATCTACCACCTCACATAGCTAGGGCGCAAATCCTTGCGCGTTAAGGTTAAGAATATATTGTACAATAGTCTATTCCTCTGCTATAGTAAGCTTCTAGACTCTAGGTTATGTATTAAGTTAATTAGTAATTCTACAAAGCTAATTAGAGAGCCGCTAATATTGTACACTATAGGCTGCTATAGTACGTCGTAAGGTCTTAAATTAGCTAGTAGTAAAGGCCTAAAGCGTAAGGTTAATCTTACCTTCTTTGTACGATAAGATAGCGTTACGTTGTAGAGACATAATATATTCTTTGTCGTGTTCGCAGTGCCAAGAAAAAGTGGCTGGCTCACTGGTTTGGCCGCCTCACTGGTGTAGTACGTTATATGAAAATAGCAACTGCGCGAAATATTATGGACCTGGAAATATTTGCAATGTGTTCCGCAAAACGACGTGTTTTTTTTGTTTTTTTTTGTTTTGTTTCTAGTTCCGTTGCTTGGACTTTGATTTTGACTTTGACTTTCCTGGACTTTACCATGTACATAAAAGTACCAAAGTACCAAAGTAAATAAGTAATTAGTCCCGCTTATCCTTTTTCTTCTCTTTTCTTCTCATTTCTTTTCTTTTTTTTCTCTAGCGCTTCATATGTAAGAGAAAAAGCCAAAAAAAAAGAAGAAGAAGAAAAGAAAAGAGAAAAGAGAGAGAGAGAGAGGAATAGAGAGAAAAGAAGATAAAAGACACTTTCTCACTTGCTTCAGTAAATAAGTACCCTGTCTATCTATCTATCCATCCATCCATTCAGAAGTGTATTACCCCGATTTTGGGTTTTTCTTTTGTCCAATGCCGTCCCGAGGGGGGGGGGTATATAAAAGTATATATATATATATATGTGGGAATGGGTGTGTGTGTGTGTGTTTGCTCGTTGCAGCCATGTTCGTGGGTAAGTACAGTAATAAAGTAGTTAGTCGTGGTAATAGATGTGGCCCCATGTAAAAGTAAAAAGATTAAAGCCCCCCGGGCTGCTGCGTCCCTTCCCCCCCATCCCATCCCTCCAAATGAGTCGGTTTCGCAAAAGAAAGAAAAAATGGGGATGGCCGCGGCGCAGCTGCTTGGCGTGTTTTCCGCTTTGTCATGATCATCATGGCCGTGGCGAGAAAAGGGGATATGGGGTTTGGTTTGATACTTTGCTTTGCTTTTGGGGGGGGGGGGGGTTTGT